CCTAACCTACCCCCTAAGATCTAACCTAATATTTAACCTACGATTTAACCTACCAGCTACCCCCATAATTAAACTAATTAGTTAACTTTAGCCGATCGGCAAGATTAGACGAATTAGTCTAATCTAACCGATCGGCTAATTTTAGTCTCATGCAGTCTTTAGGGCTCCTCCTCCTCCTCCCCCTCCACGCGCCCGCTGAGGAGGCCTCCTCCTTCTCTCGCTTACCCGCCGGGCTCGCCGCCGACAAGCACGGCGCCGATCGTCCGGCCTCGCGGCCCCATCTTGTTTGGATATTCTCGGGGCCTCCAGTCCCGAGGAGGGGCGACGAGTGCCGCTCGTGTTATGTCGGGCGTGTCCCCCCTACCGGGGGATTGCCGACGAACCATAAAAAATACCCCAAAAACATACCCCCCAAAGGCCAAACAAATACTCAAACAAAAAAGTCCCCAGACTATGTTTGGAGTATTTTCTGACAACTTTTGGGGTATCTTTTACTTTTCGTCGAAAATCCCCCTGTAGAGGGGGCAGGTCCGACTTGACGCTCGTGGCCTCGTCCCGGCCTCGAGGTCTGGGGAGCCGCCTCCGGCCAGCTAGAGAGCCGCTCCGGCCCGCGGCGCCCCGCTGCCGAGCTCGCCGGTGGCAGGCCGCGCCGTGGGAGATCCGCGGGTGAGAGCTCGACCCGCGGAGCTGACCTTGGGCACGTCCTGGCCAGGAAATCGAAGCGGGCTTCAGCCGCGGCGACGACGAGCCCCGGCAGAAGGCCCGAAACGGGTCCAGCACGTGCTGTTCGTGTTCGTGTGTGTGTGGTATGTTTCTCAATATTTGTCTGCCTCGTCTTCTGGGCCTGTGCGTCTGTCTGACAGTCTGTCTGTCTGTCGATATCTCTTTTTTATGTCTCTCTCTCTCTGTATCTCTCTCTCTCTTTCTCTCTGCATATCTGTGTTTCTGTATGGATCCTTATAGTTCTCTTTATATGTACGTTTCTCTGTTGTCATACCCGCTCTCTCTGTCTCAACTCTATTATCTCCAGTGTGTTTCTTGTTAACTATCTCTCTCTTACTCTTTGTTTACATACAAGCACAACCATGTATGCACATATGTATAAACGTGTATATTACAAGGCGTCCAGAACTATTGACGTATCGCTTGTACGTTCGCCGCCTCCGTCCTGCCTTCTGCCCGCGAACCCGCCGCCGTCTTACTTCTGCCGCCTTCCTCCAGCCTTCCGCCGAGGACAACCCGTGCCGAAGACGAGGGCCGCCCTAGCATGCTCCGTACTTTACATATCAGAACCCAGTATACATAGCTTGGGCGCCCGAGTTATCCGGGGTAACTCGGGTCCGGGGTAACTCGGGTTTGGATCCCCGCAAAAACGAACCCGAGTTAGCCCTGACCTGAATTACCCCTGATGATTTGGGGCTCTGGACGCCCGAACTACCCGGGGTAACTCGGGTCCGGGGTAACTCGGGGTCGGAATCCTGAAAAAAACGAGCCCGAGTTAGCCCTTACCCGAGCTACCCCTGCTGATTCGGGGCTCTGAATAGCTACGCATGTGCAGAAGTCTACGTCTGATCTGCAGTTACCGCTGCGGGCATGCATCCGCGATGCCGGCGCTGTGCGCGGGGGCGGGAGCAGGGAGCACGCGGGTGCGTGGGGTCCCTCCCGGACCCTGCCAGACTCAGCGTGTGCTCCCCCGACAACGCCGACCACGGCATCCAGGTTTTCGATGAAGCCACCCAGTCTTTCGGCCAGCGCCAACACATCTATATCTACCTATCTATCTATCTATCTATCTATATATCTATCTATCTATATCTATACATGTGGCGGCTGCCCGAAACCCAGGATCCTCGAAGGCGACGGGCTTTCTGGAACGCCCCGCCATTTCGGCCAGCGCCCAAATACCTCTATACAACTCTATCTATGTATGGCGGTGCCCGGACGCGAGGGCCTCTCTGGAGCGCCCCGCCGCTCGTCTCCGGCGCGCCCCCGGTGGCGGACGCCGACACCACGGCAGACCCACGGCCACACCCTGCGCCCCGCGCCCCAGGTGTGGGGGGGGGCAACGACAGGGGGGACTGGCACAAAGGGGAGAAGGCATCGACCTGGGATCGGCGACACATCGCCGCTATAGGTCGGCGACAGGCCCCCGATAGTGAGCCCGTGCCCTCCTGGGCGGGGTGGGGCTCTCTCGGGGCCCTATCGGCGACCAGTGGGCGATTGGGGGTCGTAGTGGGGCCTGGTTCAGTGGTGTGTTCTGGGGGACGCCCCCCCCCCCCGCCCCGCTCCAATGATAGGAACTGCCGCCACCCGAAAAAAAACACCAGCTACGGCAGACCTGGCTTGGTGATGCTGGCCAGTTGAGGGGCTCCAGGGCCCTGCTGCTAACCGGGCCCCCTTGCCTGGGGTCCTGGCTATACCCGACACAAGGCCAGCACCGCGGCAAACCCCGCGGCAAGCCCACCGCGCCCGCGGCGGCGTCTGCCCGGGTGGCCGCGGCGCGCCCTCCCCGGGACGGACGGCCGCGCGCCGGCACGAAACGGCGCGGCGACACAGAACGACCTTTCGACTTCTCGGCTTAGGTCGGGCCTGTCCCCCTACAGGAGGATTGTGAGCGAAAAATCAAACAGATTCGAACCTGATCTTGTCACGAGCCCCGACCTTGGAGGACAAGTGGGCGTGAATTGCGAGACAGAGAGAAACGAAGAAGAGGATGCCTATAGGACGCGTTCTGCTGGTTCCCGTGTTGTCCGTTTGGCACTGTGCCGCTTGTTGAGGCGCCTCCAGCCGTCGTGGGGCCCTCTTCGGGCTGTCCTGAGACCCTGTTGGGCGCTTCTGGGGGCTTCTTGGAGACCTCCTAAGGTGAGCTCTGTCGCTGTGAGGCTTTGTCGAGGCACTTCCAGCAGTCCTGGAGTCGTGGGGCAGTCCTGGGGCCCTCTTGGGCGCCTCTGGGGGCTTCCTAGAGGCGTGATGAGGTATTGAAGCTTGTTGAGGTCGTTTTGGGGGCCTCTTGGGGCTTCCTCAGGTCCTTCAGCCGTCCTGGCGCCTTCCTGAGGGAGTCCCGGGGCTGTCCGTTTGTCGCTCTGACGCTTTGTCGAGGCGCTTCCAGCAGTCCTGGGATCCTGGGGCAGTCCTGGGGCCCTCTTGGGAGCTTCTGGGGGCTTCCTGGAGGCGTCTAGAGGTCTTGAGGCATCTTGGGGTCTTCTTGGGCGTCACTTGGGGTCTCATCACGCTCCCGTGTTGCCCGTTTGACGCTGTGAGACGTTGTCGAGGAACCACCAGCCGTCCTGGGGTTATCTTGGGGCAGGGCTGCGCCCATCTTGGGCGCTTCTGGGGGCTTGCTGGAGGCCTCTGGAAGGTTCTTGGGGGCCTCTTGGGGCCTCTGCAGGGGTTATTGGGGCCTCTTTGGAACATCTTGGGAGCTTCTGGGGGCCTCTGGAGGGGTTATTGGGGCGGAGAACCCGAAACCTCGGATTTCGTCGGAGGTTGCGGCGGGAACGCTTTTGAAGAAAAGTTGGCCAAGAAAACGACGATGCGTCTTGGAAGTGGGCTCAGCACGCGACTAGGCGAGTTACGAGGTGAGCTCAGCACGTGTCCGTGCGAGCCACATTGAAGGGAGGGGGTGAGTTCAGCTCGCGACCATGCGAGTCACGAGGTGAGGGAAGGGAGGGGGCGCGGTTGCAGATGACGGGCGAAACAATTGAGTTTGGAGGATCTGGGAGCTCCTGAGGGCCGTCGGGTTTGGTTGGAGGTTGTGTCGGGGACGTGTCTGACTGTCGGCGGTCGGGGGCCGCATGCGGCCGTATTGAAGCCTCCACTTGTGGGGATTTCTGGCAATACGAAAAGTCGCTAGGGGTTTCTCTGCGACAGCTGTCCAGAGGGAAGGCGGTGCGCATTACATTGGTTCCCGTGTGGTCCGACTGACGCTGTACTGCTTAATGCGCATTACATTGGTTCCCGTGTTGTCTGTTTGACGCCGTGACGCTTTGTCGAGGCGCCTCCAGCCGTCGTGGGGCCCTCTTGGGGCTGTTCTGAGGCCCTGTTGGGCGCTTCTGGGGGCTTGCTTCAGACCTAGTAGGCTGAGCTCAGGTAATTTCGGTACGAGCCAGGAAATCCCGGGCTGTCCGTTTGTCGTTGTGACGCTTGGGGGCCTCTTGGGGCTTCCTCAGGTCCTTCAGCCGTCCTGGCACCCTCCTGAGGAAGTCCCGGGGCTGTCCGTTTGTCGCTCTGACGCTTTGTCGAGGCGCTTCCAGCAGTCCTGGGATCTTGGGGCAGTCCTGGGGCCCTCTTGTGGAAATATTTAAAGCACATCCCAAACATGCGCAAACATACTCAAAACACCGTCCCCAGACTACTTCTCGACTGTTTTTGAATCTTCCTCCCGTCGAGGGACGTGCCCGACGGAATTCTTGGCATGGGAGAGCACAGGTCCCGAGGGAGACAGCTCCTGGCTAAAACAGGGCTAGGATCGGGATAAATCGCTCCAGAGCGTTCCGGAGCGCTCTCAGAGCGTTCCGGAACGCTCTGGGGCGGCCGCGGCGCCCAATACATCCTCCAAACCCGCCGATTCTCAGAGGTTTTGAGTTATCCCGATCCAATTTTGTCCCGATCTTCGCGTCGTTTTACTGGCCCCCGGGGCCCTCCCCCCGGGCGCGATTTTCCTCCCGGGCAATTTTCCGACGGGCCCCCCGGGCCCGTGGAGCCCCCCGAGAGCCGGGGAGGGGCGAGAGACCTCGGGATCCGTTCCCCTCAGGACTCGCCCCCCCAGAGATCCAACGTATTGAAAAAATCGAGACGGAGATTGTTCTAAGATTTCGACCCCTAGGGACCCTCGCCGGGCCTCGGGACTGTCACAAAACGACTCAGGAGGAAAAACCGGTCCTGGGGAATGGGTCGAGACTTCCGGGGACCGCGTATGGAAAAAATCACGACGTCGGATCTCTGGGTCGCCCTCACGGCGAGCTTCGCTCCGAGCCCCCCCTTGGAGGCCGGCCCCGCGCGTCTCCGTCTCCCGCCGCCAGGCCCGTCAGCTCGGGGAGGTCGCCCCCCCGCTCGCGCCATGCCCAGACCGCCTCCGCGGCGCCGCGCGCGGCAGGCGGCGGAGGGCGCGGGGCGGGCAGCTGAACATAGTCGTATCGATCCCCACCCCCACGGGCATGGCACTTGACACGGGGAAGCCTCGACCCCGCTCTCAGGCCGTGGTAGGTTCTTCGAGTGGACCAGAAATTTGGGGCCCAACCCTGGGATGTACGATGGGGGGGCGTCCATGCTCGACGGGGGTGCGTCCGAATAGCCCCCTTGGGGTGTGTCCCAGGGTCTCCCCCTCTGTCTGAGCGGCCAGACTGTGTCGGGCGGAACGCGGGGATTGGGGAGAACAATCACTTGCGAGCACTGGTTCCACAGATGGCGGCGCGCAGAGGAAGGTATCGGGGAGGGGGAAGGCTTCTTAGAAGGATGCTGCTTCCCAGAAGGCGCCGGCCTTCCATTTATGGACAGGGCCCGCGCATTAGATCTGAGCCGCAGCCTCCCTCTGAGAAGCCTTCCCCCCTCCATCTATCCCCTTCTGCGCGTGGCGGACACTGACCTATCCACCCCCTCGGGATACGGTCAAGAAATTTGGCTTACGTGTCGCTCCGCTCGTTCAGGCCCACCATGCTTCGGCGCGACACACGATGCATGTCAAAGTCCCCGCGCCCATCGTCCCGAGCATCTCCAAGCCTCCCGCTCCCCAGATCGGAGCGACACGCTGTCCGCTTACAGGGCATAGCGTGTCGCCGGGGCCGCCGCAGCGATACTCTAAGCAACCCTTTCTGAACGTGTGCTCTTCCCTTCGGGTTTCGCGGGGCTGATCCTCACCTAGAGGGTGAGCTGGTGGGGCTGAGATGCCGTGCCCCAGCGGGGATGGGGATCAGATGCGCGATGCTGCGCAGGTGTTGCCAAAGGCTGCCCCGACCCAAGGTGCCCCCAGCTTGTCGCAACATCTTCGAGTCGCTGGGGCCCTCTGGGCCCCGCGAGGGGTTCACTGGAGGAGGAGGAGGAGGAGGAGGAGGAGGAGGAGGAGGAGAGGAGGAGGGGGAAGGAGGGGGGGAGGAGGAGGAAGAGGAGGAGGGGGAGGAGGAGGGAGGAGGAGGAGGAGGAGGAGGAGGAGAGAGGAGGAGGAAGGAGGAGGAGGAGGAGGGAGGAGGAGGAGAGAGGAGGAGGAGAGGGAGGAGAAGGAGAAGGAGGAGAGAGTGAACAGGGAGGATGCACGCGGCGTGATGACATCCTGGTGGCGCCCTGGGCCGGGGCCACCGCCGGCAGCACCCGAGGCGGCAACAGCCAGCACGACACTGGGACACCAGATCGACTCGGGACGTGCGCCGGCTCGGGCCGCGCTGGCGCGGGGTCGGGATCGCATCGGACCGGCCGCGCCACGATGCACGACAGCGCCACCGGATAGGAGAAGGAAGAGGAGGAGGAGGAATGGGAGTAGGATGAGTAGGGTGAGTAGGATGAGTAGGAGGAGGAGGAGGAGGAGGAGGAGGAGGTGAGGAGGAGGAGGAAGATTAGCTTTAGTGGTAGGAGGACTCCAGATCGGCAGCGAGTCGGATCGAGGGGGCCCGAGGCTCCACGTGTCGGCCACGACCAGCGGAGCACCCTGCCTGCAAGCAGAGCAGAGGTGCAGAGGCGATGCGAGCAGCAGGAGGTCGGCCAGTGGAAACGTGAACTCCTCCTCCTCCTCGTCCTCCTCCTCCTTCTCCTCCTCCTCCTCCTCTTCTTCTTCTTCTTCTTCTTCTTAATTATTATAATTATTCCTCCTCCTCCTCCTCCTCCTCCTCCTCCTCCTCCTCCTCCACGGCCATGCGCACCTTGGTGCATTTTCTAGGGGGCCACGTGCGAACCTTGCCCCATGCCCCCTACGACTTCTGGGGGGGAGGGGGGGGTCACTCGGCTCGGGAGCTCCCGAGCGAAGCGAACCCACCCTGCCCCTCGGAAATCGTGGGGGGTAGGGGGTATGGTTCGCATGTGGCCCCCCGTTCTCTGCAGAGCAGACCGCGGCCGTCCAGACCACACGTGCAGCCGGCACTGCGGCGAGAGCACGATGCCCGAGTACCTTGCGGGGCAATCTTGGGCGAGAGGGCTGGCGGGCCGGGCGACTTTTGGGCCCCCCCCCTCTTTCCCGTGGGGCTCTCTGGCGTGGCCCTCCTCTGCCACCGTCAGGGCCCTCCGAAGCGAGACGCTATTAGGGATTAGGGTTGGGTCGGGCGTGTCCCTCTACAGGAGGTCTATTCAAAAGTGGCAAACCAAAATCGTCGGGGGGCGATTCTCCTTCTGATTTTTGCCCGCTTTGAACATGTTTGGCGTGTTTTGCATTCGTCGTCCAAGGTCCGCGTGTAGGGGGACGTGCCCGACCTAAGAGCTGGGGACCCTCTGCAGGACGCTGGAGCTCTGGGCCCGTGGACCCCCCCCCACTCGCTGTCGCTCGGGCGTCGGGTCCCTGTGCATCTTTGCTTGCGGCCTCGCGCGCCTTGTTTGCGCTGCTCGGCGATCCAGCATGCCCCTCGATCTGAGCATTCTCCTCGTCCCCCTCCTCCTCCTCCTCCTCCTCCTCCTCCTCCTCCTCTCTCCTCCTCCTCCTCCTCCTCCTCCACCTCGTCCTCGTCCTTCTCCTCCTCCTCCTCCTCCTAATCCTCCTCCTCCTGCTCGTCCTCCTCCTCCTCCTCCTGCTGTCCTCCCCTCCTCCTCCTCCGCCTCCTCCTCCTCCTCCTCCGACTGCTCTCCCTCCTACTCCGCCTCCTCCTCCTCCTCCTCCTCCTCCTCCTCCTCCTCCTCCTCCTCCTCCTCCTCCTCTCTCCTCCTCCAGCATGCCCCTCGATCTGGGCATTCTCCTAAGGGTGGAGGGCTCGGGGTGAACTCCATATTGGGCCCTCGCACCTCGAGGCTCGCTCCGCCTCGTGGTGCACCCTTTCTTTGCAGATTCGAGCCCCGGAGATCCATGGAAACGGCGTTTCAGGTGCCACCCTTTGCCCTCCACCCACAGAGAATGCTCGGTCGATGGCCCTCGCCGAAGGAGCGCGGAATCCCGAACCCGGACGACGGCGGAGCGCCAGAAGAAGGGCCTCGGAGGGCCTCCGGGAGGACCCTGACGGCTCTCTCGGAGGGAGCTCCCGAGGGAGCTCCTGGAGAGCTCGGCGCGGCACACGTGTTGGGAACTGGCCAGGACACGCTCTCCCCGATGGCCCTCGCCGAGCTGAACAAAAAAGATCGCGTCCGAGCGGTGCCGGGCCCGCGTCGCGACGAGGCCGCGGCGCGAGGCGCTCGCGTGCGCGAAGCGGCCGCGAGGCAGGAGCTCCTGGAGAGCTCGACGCGGCACACGTGCTGGGAGCGAGCAAGGATACGCTCTCCCCGATGGCCCTCGCCGGGCCGGAAAACAAAAACACACGCACACGTCCGAGCGGTGCCGAGCCCCTCCCTGGGCCTCCCCACGTCGTGCAAGAGGCCGCGCTGCGCGAGGCGTCTTGCACGACGTGGGGAGGCTCGCCTTTTCGCCACAGACCTCCGACGCATTGAAACATGAGGAGGAGGAGGAGGAGGAGGAGGAGGAGGAGGAGAGGAGGAGGAGGAGGAGGAGGAGGAGCGAGGAGGAGAAGGAGTAAGGAGGAGGAGAGGAGGAGGAGGAGGCGTGCAAGAGGCCCCCGCTCTCGCGCCCCCCCCCCGGGGGGCTCCCTCGCGCCGAGGGCACACAGGGGCGGGGGGGCCGCCCCGGGGCGGCGCTCTGGGCGGGGAGCCACGCCCGCGGCAGGCGGCACGCGAGGACCCCCCTCGAGGGATGAGGAGTAAGGGACCGAACTTTCTACACCGATGCTTTTTTTCCAGTCCCGCACTGCACCTCGCACAAGAGAACGGAGCATGGTGTGCACGGCATCCTGGTGTATACCCCGACGCGCAAGACAGTCCTGGGATGGAGCAACAGCCCGCCACTGGTAATGTATTCAGGGCTTGATTTAATATATATATAACATTTAGAAAATACATCGAACTTGAATACATGACTAATGTATGAATAAATGTATGCGTGAACTCACCGCTGTTGTTAATACTAAATCCCTGCATTTGTAATACATGATCCGCACGCGGAGCATGTATCAAAACCGGCACTGTATGTTCCAGCTTCCGAAGAACATCACGACGGCAGGGCAGGTGCTGCGCGATTTTCGCTGCCTCGACGGCGACGGGCCTCGGGGCCGCTTTCCCGCCGCTGGCAAGGGGGGGCTCCGCGGTGCAGCGGCCGCGACGAAGAGAAGGGCAAGGAGGGGGGGAGGGTAGGGGGGGGGGGGAAGGGCAGAGGGAGAGGGCAGAGGAGGGGAAGGGAGGGTGGGGGAAGGGCAGAGGGAGGGTGGGCAGGGGTGGGCAGAGGAGGGCACAGGGAGAGGGCAGAGGGAGAGGCATGGAGGGCGAACGGAGGGAGGACGGGCGATGAGCGGAGAGATGTGCACAGACTGCGCGCAGACACTCAGGAAAGACGAGGCCCCGGCATTCGACGATTTGGCTTGTCCATCGGAGGCCCCAAAGGACCCAGTTCCCAGGGGACCGTTACGCCCCAGAGCAATTTCGATCGCCCTGAGGCCGGAAAGCGTCCCCTGGACGCCAAACTGTTGGGGACCAGCGCCGAGAGTGAGGCAATCCCCCTAAGTACGCGGACGAAACCTGTAATCATCACGGTGATGGCATTGGTTGAGAAACCCTTGGATCATGAGCCCAGGGCCTGAGAGCCGGTGGAACATCAATTGGGCCTTGGCCATGGGTATCACCGCGAACGCCGCCCTCGTCAGAGAAGAATCCTCGAAGGAGGGAGAGGAGACGGAGACGCAGGAGACGGAGGAGGAGATGGAGGAAGACGAGGAGGAGGAGGAGGAGGAGGAGGAGGAGGAGGAGGAGGAGGAGGAGGGGGAGGAGGGAGAGGAAGAGAAGGAGTTTTTCTTTTTTGGGAAGGAGAAGAAGGAGGAGGAGGAGGAGGAGGAGGAGGAGGAGGAGGAGGACGAGGAGGAGGAGGAGACTCGCGAGGGGGAGGAGGAGGAGAAGGAGGCTCTGCTTGCAGAGACTGCTTGCAGAGCTGCTTGCAGAGGCGCAGGGGCTGCTTGCAGAGGCTGCTTGCAGAGGCGCAGGGGCTCATGCGCACGGACACTAGTAGCGGAGGAGGAGGAGGAGGAGGAGGAGGAGGAGGAGGAGGAGGAGGAGGAAGGAGGAGGAGGAGGAGGAAGTAAGTGGAGGAGGAGGAGGAGGAGAAGGGCAGGAGGAGGAGGAGGAGGAGGAGGAGGAGGAGAGGAGAAGGAGGAGGCGAGGAGGAGGAGGAGGAGGAGAGGAGGAGGAGGAGGAGAAAGGAGGAGGAGGCGGAGGAGGAGGAGGAGGAGGAGGCGGAGGGGAGGAGGAGGAGGTCGGAGGAGGAGGAGGAGGAGGAGGAGGAGGAGGAGGAGGAGGAGACGCGCGAAGGCGAGGAGGAGGAGAAGGAGGAGGAGGAGGCGAGGAGGCGGAGGAGGAGGCGGAGGAGAAGGAGCAGGAGCAGGAGCAGGAGGAGCGGGGGGGGAGGATCGAGGCGCACCGCGCCTTCGCGAACGGCAGCACCTCGGCCTCGGCCGCGGCGCACCTCTCGGCGAAGAGGGTCCGCTGCGCGTCCGGGCGGAAGTGGTGGCGGTCGCCGGCGCGGAGCCACCACGGGCCTGGGGCGGATGGGGCAGAGGAAGAGGGGGGGGGGCCTTCCTCACCCTCCGCGCTCCTCTTCGTTCCTGGGGGGGGGGGTAGGCGGGCCTCCTCGCCCTCTGCGTTCTCCCCCCGTCCCTTGGGAGAAGGAGGAGGAGGAGGGAGGGAGGGAGGGAGGGAGGGAGGAGGGAGGGAGGAGGGGAGGAGGAGGAGGAGGAGGCGGAGGAAGAGGAGGAGAGGAGGGGGAGGAGGAGGAGGAGGGAGGAGGAGGGTGACGGGGAGGAGGAGGGAGGAGGGGAGGAGGAGGAGGAGGAGGAGGAGGAGGAGGAGGAGGAGGAGGAGGAGGGGAGGAGGAGGAGGGGGACGACCACGTCGGTCCGTGGTCACCGACGAGGAAGACGACGACGATGACGACGACGACGACGACGACGACGACGACGACGACGACGACGAACGTCCAAGATGGGGGTGCCCAAGAGGGGGGATCGCAGATCATGGCTGGGTGCGCGTGCGCGGAGGAGGCTCGGACTGGCCGCCCCCGGACGTTGGGCCCCGGGTGCCTGTGCCCGAAACTGCCTGCTGGTAAAGCTCTTAGAGGCCTCCTAGATGGGGTCCGACTAGACGGGGTCGGAGGATCGCGCCGCATCGGCGATGCATCGGCGATGCATCGGCAATGCATCGGGAATTCGTCGACGTGCAGCAGATCGGGCTCCACATTGAGCCACATCGCCGATGCATCGGCGATGCGGCGCGATCCTCCGACCCCATCTACTCCGATCCCATCTAGGAGGCCTAGAGATTTGCAATCCGTTTTGGACGGTCCAGGGGCCCGAAACCAGCCCCCGGAGACAGAAGAAGAGAAACAACCATCCCGAACCCAGAACCTCGAACCTGCTCGCCATTGCTCCTGGCCGCCCCAGGGCTCTGGGCCTCTGGGCTTGTCGCAGCGACCGCTGCAATAGCCATCCCCCCCCCTCCTGCCGGCTTCACGCGAGAGTGACACTGGGTAAGAGCGACCTTTGGTGCGCGGCTTTTTGAGGGCCGCGGGGGGGACCAAACACAAGCGAGCAAGACGCTACTGTCGTATCGCGTTCGGCGATCGGGGGTCCCCAATGGGCCCGCACCGAGGGTCACTGTGGCGAAGGGCCCCTCCTACGTGCAGTCGACCCTGGCCGCCTCCCAGACCCCCGACGTCATGATTTGTACCCCTCTCCCGGGGCCAGCTTCTCATCCTCAGCCGTTTTTTGATGGCCCCGAGGCCCGGAAGGGGGCCCCTGGAGGCCGACGGTAGCGAAAAGCTCGCCGCCCTGACTTGTGCATAACTCGAGGGGGTCTGGGAACCCAGAACCTCTCGGGGGCGCATACACATGCATTAGCGATGCATGGATTTGGCGCGCGGCCGCCAAAACCATGGATCGGGGAGGGTGCCCTCCCTCCCCAGGATGCGGCCGGTGCCGGCTCGCCTGGCGGCGGCAATCCGCGATGTCCCATGGAAACGGGACCCGTCGCTAATCCATGCCCCTCGTGAAGGGGACGACCTGGGAGGGGAGGATGTTGTGTAGCATCGCGTTAACCGTGTTCCTCATCCATTGTCTCCCCCTGCCCCTATCCTTCTCCCTATCCTCCTTTCTCTCCTCCTCCCTATCCCCACCCTGTCCTCCTCCCTGTCTCCTCCTCCCTTCTCTCCTCCCGATCCCTGGATCCATGACTGCGATCGCCCGAACCTCGAACCCGCCCGCCCCTCCTCCCAGCCGCCCCCCCCAGGCTCTCGGGCCTATCGGCTGGTCCGGGGCGCAGACGTCCTGCAGCGCGACGGCCAGGGGCGCGTCGGCCTCGGGCGTCGCTTCCATTGGGGGGGGCGACAACATGTAGATACAGTCTACTCTCCATCTTTTCTCGATGTTCGTCTCCCCCCGCTTCCAATCTGTTTTCATATAATTGCATGCTGATCGCCGATGAATGATCCTTTGTGTCTGTGTGTTTCTTTCCCTCCTGATACATGGGGGGGAAGAACGGTGCACGTCCGGGCTCCAGAGGGCCCCCTGTTGGGCCCTAAAAGGGCCCCTCTGGGCGCCCTGAAGGGCCCCTTCTCTTTAGCCCATTGCTGCCCTCCCACTTGGGCGACGATCGGGAACGGATCTCACGCGAGATAACGTGGCGACCTTACGCGGCAGCTTGCGCGGGCCGCCGGCGCGGCAAGCTGCAATACTGGAGGCGAGGGCGTTTACGCGCGACCTTGCGCGGGAAGCTTGCGCGCCAATGTCGGCGCAGCTGAACCTGATTTTTTCGTCGCTCGTTGATCGTCCCCTCCCCATTGCGCGAGGCCCAAGCGGCCTCGGCGTCGTCGCCCGCCAACTGCAGCTTCCACTCCTCTCGGGGAAGGGGGTGGGGTGGAGGCCTCCTCAGATGGGGTCGGAGTAGATGGGGTCGAAGGACCGCGCCGCATCGCCGATGCGTAGGCGATGCGTCGGCGATACATCGGCGATGCATTGGTGATGTCGGCGATGCATTGGCGCCGTAGGAGTGCCGAACAGCGGGGGTCCGAATCGAGCCGCATCGCCAATGCATCGGCGATGCGGCGCCATCCTTCAACCCCATCTATTCCGACACCACCTGGGAAGCCTAGAGATGAAGAGGAGGACCCAAACAGACATGCTCGCGTCGTGAAAAAAACAGCGCGGGCAACTGTTGGCAATCTTCGGCCTCTGGAGGCCCTCACACGGCCCTGGGACCGCAAACAGCACTCAGGATGGAAAACCAGTCCTCTGGAGAGGGCTGGGGATTCCGGGGACCTGGTACCGAAAAGATCCGGACATCGCATGTCTGGGCAGGAGGAGGGGCAAGGGGCCTGCCCCCCTCCTCCCCCCTCCTCTTCCTCCGACTCCTCTCGGAGAGGGGGGTCAGCCCAGGGGGGAAACATCGAGCTTGAATCGACGATACACTGTCGATAGATCGGCGATAGCCCCCGATTGCGAATCCAGACGCTCCCAGTGGGATCCGCCGGCCCCCTTGTGGGGCCACCAGGCTGTAGGCGCGGGTTCGCAGTTTCCAGTGCCAGTTGTAGCTTGTAGTTTCCAATGTTACAGTTCTGCTTCTTGCTGGTTACTGTAACTAGTTGACTTCTTGCTGGTTACTGTAACTAGTTGATTGACCGCGCGAGGGGGGGGGAGGCCCAAACAAGACTTTTTAGCCTCCCCTGGGCGCGTTGTCTGAATTGCTGGGGGGGCTCGAAATCGACACCCCTCACGCAGATCCGCGGGGTCAGGGTCCAAAAACACATGGCATTTGCCACATTTCTGAAATGCGGTGCCACCCCTCACGCAGATCCGCGGGGTCAGGGTCCAAAAACATATGGGATTTGCCACATTTCTGAAATTCGGTGCCACCCCTCACGCAGATCCGCGGGGTCAGGGTCCAACAACACAGGGGATTTGCCACATTTCTGAAATTCGGCGCCACCCCTTACGCAGATCCGCGGGGTCAGGGTCCAACAACACAGGGGATTTGCCACATTTCTGAAATTCGAACCCATCACGCACATCCATCGCAAGGCGTGGTAACCCAAACTGCGAGAACTCCCTCGGCCCTTTAATCGCAAGGTGTGGTAACCAAGCCCTTAAACCATACACGTCTTACCAATCGCCAGGTGTGGTAACCCCTATTGTGATCAGTTGGTTTTGCTGATTGCGACTCGGCTTCGCATGAAGTTTCGATACTGCTTCACGACAGCGCCAAGGCCTCATGACTTAGCTCTTCCATGGCCCATTCTCCGAGAGAGGGGGCCAGCGGCAGGGGGCGAAGCCCTTACGGATATCAGGCTCCAATCGGCGATGCATGGTCGATTGGGGGCCGGTGCATCGCCCCTCAGCCGATCCCGCCCTGACACTGCCCTTGATTGTAGCATTCACATACGATAAGACTCTCATAGGAGAAATCTTGGTTTCTCGTCGAGCTTTGCGCTTCCTCGGGTGCCCCAGAGCCTAATTAGGCGAGGCCCCCGTTCGTCAGAGGCACCTGCCGGCAGCCTCTCCTATGCGATGTGCCTGCTCCAAAGCGGCAACTCTGGGGAGGTCCTCGTGGGAG